CACACAGACTGTGAGTTCTTTGACATAACAATGCAGTCCGTTGGAATGTAGAAGCAAATTCGCCGCGCCGCGTGTTTGCCACTCGTGGAATACCCTATCAGAAGGTGTTATTTCAACCCCCATCTTGGCGATGTACAAAGCACGTGTAGGCGGTGTACTGGCCACACTACACCGTAAGACGTAATCCAACTTACTCATAAAAGCAGCAGCTAAACTAAAACAAACGAACCCATCTCCATTTTTGCTCGGAAGCCACATTCGATAACCTTGGATGGTACATAAAACGGACGGGAACGCTGTAATCGGCAAGTTCACCATTAGTGATTGTTCACCACCTCCTGTTATCATTTTTGCCTTTATTTTGCTCACCCCTAACCGATCATCCGGCGGGATATGTCAAGCTACGGCTTTTTTCATCCTTAATAAACCATCCAGCATTGATTATGGTGCAAACTTTGGTAGGCTGCATTTGTCTGGTGATCAACCTTGACTATCTGTTGAGCTGGACTGCGGTTTAGCGGCGCATCCCCATCCTCTTAACTGGATTGTCTTTAACTAGCTCCCAGTGGGCGTTTGGGCGATGTACTACCTAGCCAGAAGCTAGTGATGCCGCTAAGCAACAACGTTCTGATTCTTGAGGATGGCTTAAATAATTCTGCTTATGACTAATCTCTAACTACAGTAAACTGTCTGGATTGTTGCAACTGACAAGTGGTATCTACTTGCTGTCAATTCATCACTGCGGTGGTTATCCAACACTTCGCTACTGCTGCACAGCCATACCGTGCGGATCTTTATCTGGGAACTGTTTACTGTATAACATTAATCCCCGTTGTTTTAACTACTGATCGCATTGCTATGTGGGCTCATCCCTGCCTCTTCCACTTGTAGATTGTACATTGGCAACACCCGGACTTCCACGCCTTCTATCCTATGGCTTGCACAGCCCCAGCCATGTTGGGTAACATGATCGCTGACTCCATCGGTATATTTTCCTTCAGCACGGTTAGTGAGTAAACCATAACCAATTTCGTATTTTTTCTATATAAGAAACAGCCGGTAGGCAAATCAGTATGGTCTCGGGCCTAAATCATATCAAACATTGTTATCTGGCATACGGTGTACTGTCTAAACAAGAATCGTGCTTCTAAAAATTAATAACAAATCCTTAAGTGAATTTTACAAGATCCTTTTAATTGATTGACATTATTGAATTATTAAGCTAGATTCTGCTCATCTGCTGCAGTTGTGCATCGAATGTACATTCGGGAATTAGTATAAATAAGCTAGATGTCACAAGTTACGCTAAACGTTGAACATCTGGCATATTTTGGCGAAGAGTCGCTGGCGTGAAGAGAATTCACTGTGTACATGGGAATGCCGATGGTTGCAAACATCTGCCGGGCCATTAGATAAACGCATGGAGGCGACGAGTGAATAAAACTCCAATCTAACAGATGCTGCGGCGCAGGCCCCAAATGGTTTCCAACCCTCCGCATGTATGTGAGTGGTATCCCTACAAGAAACGCTTGTCTGCTAAAACAACCGATTAACTGGGTGACTAAAACTGTGCGTGGGTGATAAAGCATGCATTGTATTTAGAAACGATTGCTCAATTACGAGGTACGTCCTGTTTCTCAGTATCACATATGCGCGTCTATAAGAAAGATCGTTCCCCAGGTTGCAGTTGAGTTGTAAACTATATCAAGGTGCATTTACATAAATAAGAATTCCCATTGTTGCGTCTTTGATTACTAGGTGTGCGTCTGGGTTGCGACACAAAATCTCCATTAGGGCCACGGTTTACTCAGATGTGAAGCTTCATCATTCCGATGTGGTTATACAACCTAGCAAGAGAAAGTTGCATGTTAACGCTTCACACACCTGCATCTTTAACAGTAATTCTGGTAGAAAGTGCATTGGTCGAACCCGGCGAATGCTGTAAGCAATGATTGAAGAGCAGTTTCCAGATTACATGATCCACTATCCAATACCTCGATTGCTCGCCACATACCTACTTATGATACGCGACGAAACTCACTTGGAGTGTTTGGGGCAATTAACAAACAAAGTAATTCCACCTACTTCACTTCGCTGCAAATTCGGAGATTCGGTGCTTGAAACCAACTTCATCAAATAGACAGATTTCTTGATCAGTCTCCCCTTATCCAAATCGGAGTCATTTAAACTCAACGGTTATTGACTGCCTTAAATTTTATAACACGGCATGTTGATTGCTTATGAAATATGCAGACAGTTCGCTTTACAAATTATTAATAAATATATTAAAATATTGTTCATTGTTTCCGGTTTTTAGCCCGCATGTCCAACTGCCACACAAATGGAAGTGATTGTTCTTAACTGGTTAGCCCACGCATTTGGATTGCCTTCGAAGTTCATTTATGGTCCCCACCATAATGAGACCAGTGCGTGTGGAGGAGGAATATCTGCGGTAACCTGTCTTTTTATTACACGCTATAATGATACGTTCCCGGAGACAAAAGACCTATGCATTGACACATGTGAAATCTAAGTTCATTTTTCACGTTTACTGATGTTTGCATATTAAGTGCAACATAAGTACCCAGCAACACTTCACTTATTTATATTCCAGTGGTTGAAACTTACTTTGGAAACCTGGTCTGGGTATTCAAAATTTTCTAGTTATATACTTGTAAACGGAAACACTTGTCCCTATACAAGTATTCGCGAGTTCTTCCAGTCACATACTGTAAAGCAAATTCATTTGTAATACCAAGGCCTTAGAGAAGATACCTCACCTGAATACACTGTTGCGGAAATTAAAAACCTACATCGATGTTTTCGATTTCAATTCCTAGTATTCTCCACTCACGCGTGTTCACCATCAGACTATGTTTCCTTCACTTTGAAAGACACTAGTGTGACATGCACTGAATATCGTTGCATATGTAATACAAATGAACTCAGCATGCAGCTAGGAGCTTGGATAAGCTCACAGTCCAAGTATATGAACAAGCCTATAAGGCGCGTTTTTGCGTTGCAATTTCTGCATTAATGAACGTGAATCAATTTTGTGGTCACTAAAAGCACTCCAGTACTAAACACTCCAACACATTTCTACTGCCGACCTCCGTGGTCTAAAATGGTCAATGGTTAACGGTATATTACAGATAAAAAGGACGAATCTTGACATGTCCCACCTGATGATCGGTTAGGAGTGAGCAAAAAAGGCAAAAATGTTATTAAAAAGTTGTAAACAACCGAAAATTGGGAACTTGCCGATTACAGCGCTCCTGTTCGTTTTATGTACTATCCAAGGTTATCGTATCTGGTTTTCGAGCAAAAATGGAAGTGGGTTCGTTTGTTTTTGTTTTCCTGTTGTTTGTATGGGTCGTTCGGATTACCTGATATAGTATACTACAGCCAGTGCACTGTCGACACATACTTTGAACATGGCTAACGTGGAGCTGAAATAAGAACTTCTGACAGGGTACTCCACGTGTGGCAAACACGCAGCGAGAAGAAGATTCTTCGACACTCTAACCGACTGTATTATTCTTCCAATTAGAGATGATAACCCCACAGTTGGTTGCTGTGACTCAGCTTCAGTAGGTGGTGGCAGGAGTGATCAGTGCTGTTTAGTATTTGGTAAGCCATGGTAAGCCATTAGGTCACCACGTAAACGGCGATAACTTCCACGGAAAATGCGAAGCACTCTGAGGCGCTGTTCTCATGACGAGTGGCGCAGCCCCTGACATTTTTGGTCACCCGACGTTGTAAACGCTCCAAGGCAGTGAGATCCCGTTTTAGCCATAGGTGCCGTGCTTTACTTGCATATTCAACATGTGGGCGTATATAAACGGGAAGTATTTGGCGGAAAATCGACGGTTCGAATTGCCCAAAAGCTCTCTGTAAAAGCCCCACGATTTAGATCCCCTTCTGCGATGCCTCTTTGGACTGCTCCGAGCTGACGAGATTTTCCTGGACAAACACACTGAAATGCTTTTCGAGAGAACATTGTTGCAGATCCTGGTCCCCCAGCATATATATGTGAACAATTCGGAGTCTCAAATGGAGCACTCGACATGTAGCCACATTGAGGAAAAGGCGGTTTTGGACCGCTCATTCATATATTTTGTCAAGGTCGATTCGAAGCTGGATACGGTGTTCTGGAGCTCTGATCACTCGCCAAACTTTGAATTCGTCGGCGTAGAGTAAACAGTTTGACGCAATTGGACTCACTAGATCGTTTAGGAAGACTAAGTATGGACGAGGTCCCAATACCGATCCCTGTGGCCCTCCGCACTCTACGTGAATTGCGTCTGACATAGATTCATATACTCTCACCTCCAGTCGCCTGTGCGAGAGCAAATTGCAAATCTACCCGAGGAGAAAATACCCAATTTCACATCTATGACGTATAGTGAGAAGGATACGATGGTCCAACCGGTCGAATACCTTAGAGAATTCAAGGTAAGCCACATCAACGCCTGTACCGGCGTCCATAGTTTCGGTCCAGCTGTCTCGTGTTAACAATGGGTTGGTTGTGCGCGACCGAATCTGGCGGGAGCTGTGTTGCTGCTGAGCATTGTAGCTAAAGCCGTCTAGATAAGACGTGAGTGCTTCGACAATGATACCCTCCATAACGTTTGAAATAACAGGCATTGGAATCACACTGTTCTAGGAGATTATGGGTCGGAGCGACTATCACTTTGTAAATGGGTGTTATTATTTTGGGTTTCCACATTGCAGGAACTTGCCGCTCCTCAAGGCACTGCTGGAGCAGCCGCGCTAATTGTTCATCCAAAATAGTATCCGTCACAGCAAGCGTCTTTGGGCGCATGCCGTCAAATCTTCTACTTGCGTGCAGGCGCATGGATAGCAGATTTGCACCACGATGTCTGTAGTAAACTTTATATGAGTGAGTTCTGGTGTGGGCGCCAGTGATTCCGATGAATCAGGAGACCACAGGAGCTAATGAAACATTGATGAATATTGTTGTTCCAGAATATTCGACGCTTCTTTAGTTGTCCGATTTAGACCACCCGCTGTTTGAAGCTGGCGAATTCCACTTTCCACCTTGCGGAGGCTGTTCGCGTGCGTGTAGGAAGCTTCGGTTTCGAAGTAAATCTTTTGTCTCACGCTTGCTACTTTGTCCTCGCGCACTAAATGGGTACAGCGTTTATGGTGGACAACATATACCTTCCAGGTACTGGGACTCGGATCATTTTTGTGGGTATACCACGCCGCGTTGCGCATCACCATGCGTTTGCGCCTCCTGCTTCGTATGAAAGACGCCATGTTTCTTGAACTGATAGTTTGATTTTCGGTACTCCACTAACCGCCATGTTAAATTTACTGACCAAACGTTCCCAGGCAACATCGAGTGCATCCTCTGTTAGGAAACTTTAGTCGGTTGATACAACGAGTCGGGTTAAGGTGTCTTGACTGTTTTCTATTCCCCTTGTTTGCATTCGGTCCTCAGGATATTCAGCATAGCAAGTGTACATGAAATGCTAAGTCGCATGCGGTCTAGAAGAGTATCGATTATCACTCTCTCAATCATCAGCTATTCAGTAGTGGATATTCGGTCCAATATGGATGTCCTGCTATTTCCCCTGAATCTAGTGTTTGAAGTGACGTGGCCATAAAGCGGAAAATCTGAGACGAGATCTTGTAGGTCTGCTTTGAAATGCTCTCCTTGTGTTGCGTGGGATTTTAGAGCCTCTAAGTTGTGATCGTTGGAGACTAGCACGTGGCTGTACTTCCTGTTTATCACCTGCCTCAACGCAGTCATGAAGTTGCATTCCATCTCAGTTATAGACCATCGTGGGTGTTTAACAGTTGCCACTAGACCAGTATCTTACCCTCTCAGCCGGAAGCTGCCACAAGTGGAGTCAGGTACATAGGTTTCCGAATCGTTGTGAGTTTGCACTACAGGTTTTTACGAAACTAGATGGTTATCCCGCCACCTTTGCTGGCTTGATCCTTTCGGACAACCTACATACATGTTAACGCGATTTCTGCATCCGTTATCTCCCAGTGTAACCATTTTTCCCTGATATCGATGAAGTCCCAAGCTACTGACGCGCGTCAAAGTCTGCATTCAATTAATTTACTGAGTAGATTTTTGGCATTTGTGTATGTGCATGAGAGCTTCTCGGAGACCAGATATGTGTTGGATGGGATGGATAAAGAATATGAGTTTACGCCGACCGATGTAGGTCGGAGTCTAACCGTTTATTGAGTGGGTTGCAGACTCTCAAGACGAATTTGGTATACAGTCAAGTATCAAATGCCCCGGATCCCGGTGTACGCTCGTGCTCTAATGTGTCCTTCCGGATGTTATGGCTACTGTTGAAACCGCCACCGAGTCAGATGCTACGGTTGATGTTTTCGTTAAGAGCTGATAAATCTGCTTCAAATGAGCGTACGGTGACTACGCTGAAGAAGCTAGAGAGAAGATATAGAGTATTATTCTAAATGACCCGAAGGCACGCGCGTTACGCCTGTGAAATATAGCTCAGCCAATAATTACTTTACATTGCATACTCTGGTTCCATGCGATTTCCAGTAGTTGATTGATTTTCGCATCTTTCTCACATACGTCTTCTCATAAACGTTTGCGTTCTTATATCTTCAGAGCAATTCCAGCGTTGCCGCTTTCATCATGGCGATGGCTATTCGGAACCATGCAGCACTACAGAAAGGATCGGTCACAACTGATGAAGATCGACTTTGTGGTCGTGGTCCCGCAGCTTTCGCGAACCGTTCTGTTGTATACCTGTCGGATCAGGTGAGGCGGTGCAATCATTTGGTGCCCGTGGTTACAGGACCAGGGGAATTAAAGCCAAATCACAAAGAATTAAATTGCGGTTGTTCTCTAGACTACATAAATACTAGAAAGCATACAACTTCTAGGCTAAGCGTAACTGACATCAAATGCCATTGCATGAGAAAATTAACAAGCAGGTGGTTATAGCTCTCAGTAAACATGCAATTTACTAATAAATTTAGCTATGAACGGCAAAATCACGACATTGAAGACTTGAGCTACTTTACAGAGCTCTATGACATGCAGAATGTTGTGACTCTTGTCGTCACCAGTGTAGTTGGGTCCACAAACTACCAATGCAGCGGGCCGAAAAGTTTGAATGTTGCCTTGGCCACGCCCGAAATGGTATCAGTGTGATCCGTGTATGAGAACAGGTAACCTGGACTACTGGAAGTACGGTTGAGACCATTCCTTTACTTCGTACATACCCCAGCTACAAAGGAGCCAGTCTCGGTTTTACCTATATCAGATAAACCAACCGTACAAACAACCGTTTTAACAATTTACCCAGACCGGCACAGTTTGTGCCAGTCACTCACAGCGAACCGAGCCCCCAATACGTCAACAAATACAGTACTGGTACACCAACTCGCAGGGGTTGTATTCTAAGCACTCGGAACTGCGCATACGACATGAAAAAACAAATAATGACCTCATAGCACTTACTGAAACTTGGCTTTCTAACAACATACTTCATCTGGAGATTGAACTCAGTGAAATGTCAGTCATTCGGAATGATCGTCCATCTGCCAGTGGAGGTGTTACCATTTACTATCTAGATTACTAGAAACGTAAGGCCTTTACCGAAAATGCCCTCGTTTTTCCGACGCGCTATTTTTCCGACTGCACCTAGCAGGTCGAGTTCTTGGTTCACAGAAGACGTGTGAGGCTTGCCGCTTAGCAGTTTATAGGCTTCCGAACTCGTCAGCAGACAGCGATAAGCTTCTGTTAAACGCCCTCCGCTATGATGTTTCACAAAAGGGCTCTCATTAGCTTATAATGGGCGACTTTAGTGTTCCTTCAATAGCATCAATGTCCCCTAATAAGCCATCATTTAAATCGAAGCTCTTTGAATTCATGAATATGGCAGTTTTATATAACTATGTGCATCGAGCAACCAGACACCACGGTGCAAACGAGCCATCCCCATTAGACTTAATCCCGACTAACGAAGAGTTGATGGTTGAGTCAGTAGCATACTATCCTCTACTGGGCCGTTGCGACCATTCAGTCCTAACGTTTGGTTATGTGTGTTATGCTAGTATTGTTGATAAAGAAAGAGGGATTCAATAAACTATTACGGGCTGTTTTAAGCTTCATAACTTAGCAGCAGCCGTTGACTGAGACCTACAGAGGCACAATTCAGCGATTGACGCATGGAATGGATTGAAAGATAAAATTAACTGGGTCATACAATCAGCATCGGTAGTGGTACCACTAAGAACATCGCGCCAGACCAATACTTGATTATGATGTAGAACACGTAAATGGATCAACAGAAGAGATGGGGTCCGGCGGCAACATTCGCTAAGCCAATGTGATACCACCTGGCAGATTTACAAAACAATCAGCAAATACTGCACGGCGCTCATTAGAGTCTACAAGTACGAATGTCAGGAGACCATGGTACTGAGGTGTAAGAATAACAACAAACTGCTGTACATGTATCTGAACGATAAAAGCAAGCTTAAACCTGGAAAATCACCACTCAAGACGACCAGTGGCTTAACAACTACAGCTGTGGATACCGAGAACGCTCTACTCCTGCAGTTTGGCTCGGTAACTACAAATACCATGGACCTCTGCTCTTTCAACTCCCAACAAATGTCATCGGATTATTCAGTCACCTTTACCATAGCAGCTGTTGCAAACAAATTACAGTCTCTCCGGGGGTACAGTGCCCCTGGAATCGACATGATCTGCCCAAAAGTACAAAAACCCTTTCGTCCACCATAGCAGCACCACTGGGAATATTTTTCCAGGGTCTGATTAACTCCCATACATACTCAGCTGAGTGGAAAAATGGAATTATCAGTCCAATATACAAAGGTGGTAAGCGATCACATCCTGCCAACTACCGACTTATTACTCTCCTTCTTGTTTTATCAAAACTGATGGAATCGGTAATCGCAGATGAAATGACGTGATACTTTGAAAGTCAACACATAATTTCTAATGCCCAACATGGTTTCCGACGCAGACGATATTGTCTCACCAATTTGCTGCTTACCCTGGAATCATGGACCAGGGTGACTGATGAAGAAGTCCGCATAGATATGATTTACTTGGATTGTTCTAAAGCGGTGGACGGGGTCAACCACTTTGTTCTCCTCCAAAAGCTTGCTGCCTACGGTATCAACGGTTCCCTGCTCACCTGGTTGGAAGACTACTTACACGACAGAGTAATCAAGATAAAAAGTAGCTAACACTCACTCCGAAAGACTGGACCTCCCCAGTGGTGTACCTCAAGGATCCGGCCCTGACTCGTTACTGTTTTTAGTCTACATTAAATGACCTTCTATCCCCGACGCAACTATTCGCAGACGATGCTAAAATATGAAGAGCAATTCCCTCAGCATCCGACCATGCTTATCTACAAAATAATCTGGCCGGGATTAACAAATGGGTAGAAAGGAATCAGCTCCCACTGAACCCTGCAAAATGCCACCTGCTGACGGTTTGTAGCTGCCTTATCAACACAATCTCTTGGGACAACATATCCTGAAACACGGGGCTAGTGAAAGCGACTTAAATATCCTCGCGCAAGAAAGTCATTGCAATTCGCACCAATGTTCGAAAGCAACGAATGTGGTGAACTTTAAATTGAAGCTTTTGATGCGTGCTCTCGGCAGCTTTTAGCGATGGATAGTACCAATGCTGCTTAACTTTATGTTCGTCTTCACGTTGAATATGCAATTCAGGCCTGGTGTCCATGGTTAAAACGAGACATTTGCCTATTGGAACAACCCCGAAGAAGGGCCACAAAGGCAACGCGTGGACTATCCGGTATAAGTTACGAACTGCGCCTTCGTTTACTCGGGGTGTTCCCATCAGAGTGCAGACTAATTCGGGAAGACATCATCCTCCCATATCGGATACTAAGCGCTAGCACCCATGCACACCATTGCTGACTCTAGCCTCTTACAAGCAATGTCGAGGCAACCAACTGAAACTAATGACACAACTCTACCGTTTGAATCATAGAAGTATTTTTACCCATCTAGAATCTGTTCCCACTGGAATGCACTTACAACACATGTGATGAACGCACCAGGCATTATGACATTCGGAAGACTATTAGTGTTTCATCTTACTGATCAGCGCTACAGTACTGTTTGATACAGTGCAATGGCATTATCACTGACAATCCATGTTTCACGTTGGAACATTTTGATGTTAATTTTCTTTTACATATACATCCTGTGGGACCTGTAAAGTTGTGCTTTTTATCTCGCCATACACTATTGAACTATTGAACAATTACTCGGATTCATACACTGGGAAAATAGTGAATGCGTGTTTGGTATAATCACCTGTTCAGTGTGAAAATCACATGTCTTCAGAAGCTAGTTGAAAAACACATATAAGGACTGATATATAATTATTTGAATCAAAATGAAAAAGAATCAGACTTATGTGCTGCATGAGAGGCACTAAACGAGTTGCCGGTTTTCCGTAGCAGTAAGAGTCAAATGATAAAGCTTTCATCGCACTACTATACAGGCGAGGTTCGCATGGTATGGAGACGAAAGAAAGTAGCTGATATGCCACCAACAATTTTCTTCTCACTGATTGTTAGACCTGAGAAGCAGCTGTGCCTTATGTCCATGTGCTATGCGGCCAAAAATTTGCACCATGTCTATTCTCCCTTCCATACTTATCAGTAACATACCTTACGAATGATGTTATATACTATGTAACGCTTATCTCACTCGTATCAAGAATGCGTCACTTTGTACAATACCTTTGTTGTATTGCTTACGAATATCTTATAGACTAACTGCTCCATTTCTCGAGCTGCAAAAGTGGCAATGCTTAAAGTGCGTGTGTTGCAATCAACGTATTTGGATCGCCGGCTGGTTGTCGGTGTGGATGAGATACAAAAAGCGATGAAGGAGGATCGTGAGAATGGCTACATTCCGTTGATGGTGAGTGAGCAAAATTCATGTGATGATTCTGAATGAAATTTAAAAATATGAGTAACGTACTGCGTTATTAAGCCTCGCAGATTCCCTTTACTTTCACTAGAAAATGACCAATCAAAGCATCAACACACTACATGTTTAATTACAAACTAAGAATCAACGTACCGGATATAGCGCAGATCCAAAGAAATAAACTAGCATTATATATGCTGTGTTAAAAGTTGGAGCTCCTTGTCTAAATTCCCTTTTCACCTACTTGAACCAACCTAGTTTTTTCTCGTTATAAGACTTAGGATTGTAGACGGATTCCTTATAGGTACTTGAAAAGATTTTGTCTACTCAGCGTTATCGTTTCTGGAATATTATGACACATAGACAGATGGTTCTAAAACAAATTTCTAAATGACTACGTCTTACTTTGTATTTGCAGTATATCGCAACATGTGGTACAACAAACACATGCGAATTCGACAATCTAGAGGAAATCGGATCAATATGTGAGAGTGAAATTAAATGAAATGAAAAATTCTTAACATGCAGTTGGTTGACATTCGGAATTTGCGTAATCTTGTTACAGGTTTTCATGGTGCATTTGGACATGCTAAAAGCATATGAAATTACGATAATTTCCGTGTATATCTCGAAACATTTCATAATGATCATTTAAACAAAAATACATGAAGATACCATATTAAAAGGTTTGCTGGAGTGTATTTTTGATTCGATGGTATTTAATTTCATCTACTCTGAGTGCTATATACATAGCATATCCAGGTCAACTATCGTGTCATTTAAAATAAGAGAAGTTACAAACGCTGTAAAGGAAATTTTCGTGCGTTAAAATTTCTATTTCACGGTGTATGAAACCAGTGCAATAGAGCAGTTTGCAAAGAGCTGGCATTTCTTAACTACGTTCATGATGAGGCAATGATATAGTACCATTTTTGACTTCAAAAATGTTGAGAAGCAGTAAACAAATAAGTGGAGCTTAGTTACCTTTATATAATCCTTGTCCGTAGCGGTCAGAGTGGTAGATTTAACCACGATTTATTTTGAACCACAGAAACTTGTTCCTTCATTAGAAAATAATAATTATTTTCGATTACAAATTTTTCTCATTAATGCTATTATTGCAATTCCAAATTAAACGACTTCACATTTGACTGAGTTAAGGATTGTGAGTTTTAATTTACACTGAATTTTCGTATTCGCCAGTGAACTTGCATTCCTACCATCCAGCGATGTAAAAATGCTTATCTCCTTAATGATTAGGCCGGAAAGAAAATGTTTGGCTCCATGTTGACGCCGCTTATGCAGGCTGTGCTCTACTCTGCCCAGAATTTCGCTACTTATTTAAGGGATTGGAGGTAAGTGAAGTAACTACACCATATGCAGATTCGTTCTCAGTTTTGCTCGTGAGAATGTGCGTTCACTTATGTATTCTAAGACCTTGAGACTTAGTAAGATGCAGGGATATTGATAAAAAATTACAATAAGGTTTCGCTTCACTAAATGCTGCCAAATGTTAGTTTCTAAGCGTATTTGAGTAAACTTGATGCTCAACGGGTTAAATTACGCATCCGATTCTGGACAGAGCATACTATAGCATAGAACAGATGATAGAAACAGACGTGTCATCTTTCAAGAAAGTCTAGGAAATTCGGTTAATCGTTCGAGATCAGCAAATGTGCACATTTGAACCTTGAGTATCCGTGGTGAATGTTCGTCGTACTTTTGAGCGACAGCTAGTTGTTTCCTTCATCAACTCATAAATCCATCCCCACATTAAGTATTTGGTGCAAGCAGGGTTAAAAGGACACATTCACCTAGTGTTGTAGCCCGAAATATGATACTTGTGCCGCATAAATAGAGACTTGCTACAAAATCAGTGGGCTAGACATGAAAGTAAGTGATACTATTGTATAGGCAATAATGATAGACAACAGAGAGACTTTCTCAGGTGCTTGCATGATCGATGAGTCCAATGCCGATTGCAGTGCGATTTCGACTTTGGCATTCTCGTAACCTAAAGCGTGCGCCCGTTGTCCGGTAGCTCCAGTTGTGTTTTGTTGTGACAAGTATATGCCTTATGTGTGTGAGATAAATTGCGTGATTTTCACTTGCCTCGATGCGTCATGGTGATTGGTTAGATGTAGAAGGCTGTTTTGCCGTCGGCGCCTATATCATGTGGTGGGGGCTTAGGCTTTGCTATGTTGGGTTAAAGTACAAATCCATAAACGTCAGTGTTTTGAGCAAGCTGCAAACGGACGTAACAGATACTAACCAAGGCAAACATAGATTTTAAAATGGCAAGCAAAACAACCTTTCGACAGGATAACTTAGGTTGCCTGTTCACAAGTATGAACTGCGCAAGCATCTACTCAACGTCCTCCAATAATGATTACTTCGTGAGATCATTCTCAACTAACAGATGCTGCAGAAGTTTAGCAACCACGTCAATCATTACTGGCCCTAGCTCCCAATAAGCAATGCAGAGGCCATGAACTGGAAACGGTAACCCAACAATATGGTTTTCGCTGAAGAAGGTATTTGCAGTCCTGGAATCTGTTCACATTACGGCAACATATGGCACTAACTCCTACCCGATTGTAGATGTTGCTGATCATTGTTCTGTTAAAGGTACGTGCTCCGGTCTCGAAATCCAAACGCTCGACAGCTATTTGATCTATGAGCTCAGTTGAGAGTGGTCGTTATTCTCCTTAATCGGTAGCATACATTTTAGTTGAAGGAATTGGAAAACGTTCAAAGGTTCCCAAAGTCTGCTTATCTCAAAATGGCATCATGCAATGTTCCAAGTTACAACGAGGGTAAATCCGAGGTGTACGCACTAATATGCCCCGTAAGGAATCGCGTAGGTTAAATGTTCAACCTTTTAAACACCCACACATTTGTCCAGTTATTCACCAACAGTTTACTCCTTTACCCACTTCACCCATCTAACTATACTTTGCCGCTTTTCAATTTAATGTCAAGTGTAACAGATCCCTCATGCATCTTGTCTGGGGCTGCTACTTCAAAGACGTTGTAACAGTATGTTAAATCTTTGCAATTCCGACACATGTAGTCAATCTATTCCGCACGACCTCAAGCCCAAACGAAGGAACAAGACTAAACCACCTTGTACAAAATAGCCTGTTAATCATAGTCAAACTGGAACTGTACAAAGGCGGCAGACCTTGGTTCCAGTTATAGATCGCCTTATGACCCTGAACTTCTAGAATTAGAAGGACAACTACCAAAAGTAGTAATGTTACGCTGATCCGTTCAAGCTTCAGGAGAGTGTCAGTCATGTGTATTTGTCGGAACATTCCAGTAAGTATGAAACCGATGCGATAGTCGATTGTAATCGACGAACCACTGAAGTAATGGATTTTCCTGAAAATACTTATTTTTTCCCGGAAATGTTATCACATTCTCTAAGCGATGCGCAGCTCATAAATTTGACCATAGCCTGCTGTCATGTACCTGTATTTTCACGTTTACCTCTAACCTCTTCTACAATCCGTGATCATGCCGCCAATGATTAGTTACCGTAATTTTGTTAATAGTTTCACACACTTGTCATGTTTTCAGTTGCCGTTTGGTTTTGTGCTTTGAACAGCGGTTTCGACAGTTCATTTGCTCTCACCTCCCGATTAAAAGCACCTCATTTTTGACGGTGATATGTAGGGATCCTGAACGGCTCAGGTTTGCCCATTTCCCTTACTGTATATATGTAATAGTATCGTAAGTCTTTTCTGATTTCAGGAGCACTAGCGTTCGATGAGCAAAATTTAGTTACACCTAATTAGGAAATCGCAATCGTTTGCCAATACATTTGTCTAGTTCTTGCAAAGAAAGTCTTGATGGCCTTCCTTTTAACAAGATAGAACGTGACGAATTCATTTATTTGATCGCTGAATCTCGTCATCGTGACGAAAAGTACCAAGCGATCGAGTGTCATAGATTTCGGTGAAAAAATGTGGCTCCTAGCCAAAGAACGCAAACATAGCTCGCCGGGTGTCGACACCATTCCTCCAGAAACTTTGGGAGCAGCAGCAAGACAACTGGCAGGAACTTTAGCTCAGTTTTTCTAGCGCTGCTTAGACCAGAACCAAATTCCCGCCATGTGGAAGCTTGGAATAATAACCCCGATTCACAAAGGTGGAAGCAGAACTGATCCCTCCAACTACCGCCCAGTCACCCTTCTTCCTATACTCTCCAAGGTCATGGAATCCATAGTTGCCGATGCACTGGTGTATATTCTGGAAAACTGCAACCTCACCACTCCTGAACAGCACGGTTTCCGTCGACAGCGGTCATGTACAACGAATTTACTAATGGCACGCAGTAGTTGGACCGAGGCAGCTGACGCTGGAGAAGGTGTTGATGTGATCTACCTGGATTTTTCCAAGGCTTTTGATCGTCTAGACAATCGGATACTACTATCCAAGCTGCAGCATTACGGGATCGGAGACCCTCTTTTAAGCTGGATTGCCAAATTTCTACTTCAACGGCAATTAGTGGTCAGAGTTCGGAGCTCTTTATCGGACCCCATATAAGTCGAGTGTGGTGTGCCGCAAGGCTCAGTTCTAGGTCCACGTTTGTTTTTGTGTTTAATAATGACCTTCCACAGGGAATCGCTTCAAACTTCCTAATTTTTGCCGACGATATCAAGATCTGGCGCAGGATCCAGGCGAAAGTCGAGCAACATGTGCTTCAGAGTGATTTAGATACAGTGTATCAATGGTCGACCCAAAACTCATTGCATTTTAACGTCAGTAAATGCAATGTGCTTTCTATCCGACATCAGAGCAGCTACTCATACCGACTCGGAACGGATGTACTGCAACCATCAACTCTCGAACGTGACTTGGGTGTCCTGGTTCAAGATGACTTGGGTTGCTCCAGGCAATATGAAAAGGACTCGAAGACAGAGAACCAATACGTCGAGCTGTTGAGGCGGGCGTTTGGACAAGTAAACAGCTCCATATTTCGACAAATGCTCAGGGCTTAGGTTCGCCCCCATGTCGAATACGTAATTCAAGCCTGGCATCCATGGCTGAAACACGACCTTAATGCACTGGAGCAGCCACAACGCCGGGCATCTAAGAACATAATTGGAATGGGCAATCTTTCCTACCAGGAGATGCTGCAACGACTGGGATTGTTCAGTGGAAGCTCTCGCAGACTACGAGGCGACATGATTATGGCATACTTGATTCTGCGAGACCCACATCATGTATGCAGCCCTTTACTGCAACTCAGTAACAATACAAACATGAGGGGCCACTCATTAAAACTCGCAGAACAATACAGTCGTCTGGACTGCCGCAGAAATTTCTTTTCCATTCGTGTCTGTCACCTGCCGGATGCTCTCCCAGAATCGGTCGTCTCTGCACCGGCACTAACAGCATTTAAAATACGGTTGGACGATGCACCCATCCACTTACCCTTTGTTACTTAATACTACGTCTCCATCCTACAACTGGAGTTTACCATGGAATTATTTGTTGTTAACTGTGGGTGCTGTGAATTTAATAAGATCGCAGGACTACAGCGAAGCAAACGATAGGTCCTTATTTGCGTATTTAAAGTATTAACTATTTTGCTATCCTTATCACCATTATTATTACGTTGATATCCCCACCAACTATCCAACGGGACTTGTAAAGCAACACTTCTTATCTCGTATAAATTCATTGTCCATTGTTCATTGTTTCTTCAATAAAGTGAAAGAAATATACGTTTTGCTCCATTTTGAAAAATTCTGAGCCGAGAAAATGTGAGTAGCTGAACTGTATAACTCATGGTGAACAAATCACCTCGATGAAATTGCTTGCATAGAAATTAGAAACAAATTCCACAATGCTGAATCAGCTGATTGCACAAATATTGATTTCCACCGTCAGATTGAGGCTTTCTATTCTGCGATTTGTCCGTTAACCACACCTTGGAAGTTACGCATACCTTTGCGCAGCAGTCAACATAGTGCAAAAACCATACTACCCTTTCTTCCTCACAATCTGACTAAAGCTAGTTATGCGGATTTTAAAAAATCCATTATCTAGAACAGAAACCAGACTTTCGAACGAAAACTTCATGCGAAAATCTGCTTCAGCTGCACCTGTATGGAACAGAACATTTTGACTGTGCATTCTCCGCTTGGGATCCGCTGTTTGTAATGTGTTAACATGTCAGACTTCTGGTCTTATGAATCCGTCATGGGAAAATAAGCGAAGCTCCATTCCCTCATTTTACTCCGAATCCCTCGTGACAGGTTAAAAGCATTATTTATATGAATACTGTGTTTCAGTTTGCAGATTCATTTTGCTTCAATCCACATAAAACGCTATTGGTAAACACCAACTGCTGTACTCTTTGGATTGCTGATTACAAAATTTTGACGAACACAATTGGAATGGATCCAGTTGATTTGCAAACAGCCTTCACGAAAAAGCCAGTGTCCATGGTAAGTTTTCTCCCAATACCTTGTAAGGATACAGTTCAGCTGAGTTGGCAGCATTCTATCACTGCTCACAAGCTCCTTATTTATGGTTTGCCTATTGTTTAATAAAGAGAACAGTGTGAAATGATATTAATACTCCATCATCTGTAGTAGTGCGTGTTTTCGTATACCGTTACGCTGTTAAATGACATTCAAGCTATGTATCAATGCATGCATTATGAAAATCTATTGTTGCACTAAACTGATGAGTTCTTATAACGAAGTGAAACACGGATCTTCATCAAAAGTTAACTTGCGGTTCATGAGAGACGGAATGCACACAGTAAACGATAGAATAATAATAATAATATTATAATAATGATACCTTTGTTTCTTTTGATGAGAGAAACTGTGTCTATATCGGCACAGATCAATTTGTACAGAAGCATCTATGCTCTTGCATGGGTGACATGTATAGGTGGAGTATTCCAGTTTAAACCAAGCGCATTCTCAACAAACTCGTCTTCGGTGGAATATCTTATTGCGGCTACCTTCAGTTCACTGCCAGGTAAATGCGCGATAAGCTTCTTCCGATTGTTGATGCATTTCGGTAAATGAAATTCTCCGTCGGACAGTATATGTGTAAGGTGTTTAACGAGTTCAGTTGCTTTGCGAACAGACTTGACGCTAAGAAACATTCGTCGAGATAAAAACAGTTCTCTGCTACTTCTTTAACCTTTGTTTGGGAGTAATAATAACCGTCAACAATAGCTTGTTTTAACTTAAAGTTAGCACAGCTTGGTGACGAAGTAGCACCAAACGGATGTACAGTCAGGCGGTATTCAATAGGGGTGAACAGCGATTACTGTTCTTCCACCAGAGGAACCTCAAACCATTCTGATCATTAATAGGAACTTTAACATGATGAAACATGGCTTCAATCTCGGACGCGACGGCGATTGGGTGGACCTAAACCGCAAAAGCCTCCCCACCAGACTGTTTGTCAGATCAGGACCAGCTAGGGATTGAGGGAATATCCACGGAATGAAGCATGACAATCGAAGACCACACGCACTTCACCAAGTTTACCTGGATGTAATACCGAGTGGTGAAGTACGTACCAGGTTTCCCCTTTTATCTACTGTCATTGTACTGGAGCGCGTTCAGCATATCCCTTAATGATATACCCTCCCAAAGCCTTGGTGTATGCTTGGCGCACTGCGGCATATTTCGACAAACGTTTCTTTAACATGACATGCCTCATCAGTACGAACTGCCAGTTTTCTGGTAACCGAGGTCTTCCAACTTGCCATGGTAACGCAATCTCGTAGTGGAGCCATACCTTTCTTTTAAAAGCTTCCATTAGTTTTAACGCACATCCGTCGTGCACAGACAAGGCCAATCATGAACTATCTAGCCCGTCAAATTCGCTTTCATACATTTGCTCTAGTAGTCGACGAAGGTCAGTGTGATCGCAACGAAGTGAGTTGATCCACCGTGTTCGATCAACTATCAGTGATGTGTAATGATCTCTGATAGTCTCCTGCTATTTGTTCGGTCCCAGTACGATCCAGCCCAATGGAGTTTTACCAGCATACGCATCATCAGAATCCCCGCGTTTCTGATCTAATACCCAGTGTAGGTATGGTTTATCACTTCCAATCAAAAGTTCAATCATTCTTTCCAGCTTCGTTAACCGTAAAAATCGTTGTTTCTCTTTCCTGTTCCAAGTTTTCAGCGAGACTGACTGATCTAATTGAATCCAATTGGACCGCCTCATTCTCATCCACAGAGTGAACAATTAAACTAACCAACTGAGACTCCACTTGGCATCGGCGAGCAACGGTGCTAATGTTAAGTGGCGGCACAGACTCTTGAACCTCGATAACTTGTAGTAATTTTGAAGCAGTCAGTAAAGTATCTGATCCATTATTTATTAAGGCTAATGTTCGAAGGGTCCCTGCAGGAGCAGAGACAAGCACAGGCAACAAACCAAGCGATACAACAGTGTTTGACATGACTGAGAGCAAAACTGTATCCTTCAGTGTTTGGTGTTCCGAAGTTGGTTCGATCAGTGCGGAGTAGCGGGTAGTGCAGCAGCTTAAAATTGGGCGACCCATAACACCTTCGTGACCGACAATTTCGTAGGTCATGACTCAGTTTGAGACAGTTGACACAGTCGATGGGCGCGACAGAGTTCAAGATGTCTGTGGTGCTTGAACTTTCGCAAAGCATCGCACTGATCTAAATAGTGACGTCGTTCACAGGAAGCAGATTTAGGGAAAGTTCGTTCTGATAAATCCACATTGTTTAGGCAACCGGCTATCCCCGAGGGTTTAAGCTTCTGCCTCTATCGGTGCTGGCCAGTGGTCCACAGGGACGTGCGGCAAATGACAAGCAAGTATCGACGACGTTTGCAGTTTCATCCACGAAACCTGTCAAATCAATGAAGTTCGGTTCTCTTTCGGTGCGGATAACTCTGGAGTCATGCTCGGCTAACTTGAATCGCAGATGGTTGAGCAGCCACCTGATGATAAACCTGCTGTTCTAGACGCGTTCAAATCGGACTCCTACCCCAATGGTTTCAACGCCAAGTAGCATGAACCTAGCTCCACAGCCAAACGCGAAAGAGCTGAGGCATCATTCGGCCTGATGTTAGAAGCATCAGTTTGAGCATTAATGTGAGGCCTAGCAATCATGTGTGGCCGTCCGAAGCGTCTGCGTAAACTGTTCATTGCTTCTTCAAAACCATTACCAGCATCGCATATTAAACAACATTCGATAGCTTCTTTCGCTTCACCACAACAGTACTGTATCAGAAGTGAAGGCCTGATAGTTGCATCGGAAGTAGTTCTGGAAAAATTGACCTCGAAGCATCGCATAAATATCACATGGCGGGCAGGATCTCCCTCGAAAATGCTCAGATCATGTTTCTGGAAACAGGATGACGTGTGGGTCCAAATTCGCTGGATTCGCATTCCGGACATGGGTTACTGTCAGCTTGCTGGCCGGAGCAAAATGCCTCCGTTTGGGACCGGACCTGGGCACCAACAGCTGCCGGCGGATAGACCAATTGAGCTAAGAACGGCACGTGCAGAACCATTTTAATGGGTTTTAGAAAAGGTGAGCAGATGGCCACTTCTGGAGGGAGTTTACAAGTTACGGCCGGAATAAATCGCGATTGTTCACTAACTAGCGCATCTGACTCAAATTCAGGTTCGCAGTACTCCTTAACATCAACCGTGTTCGCCTTCAGCATGCGCATGCTGGTTAAGGCGGACTCCAACAGACGAATAAGGGATCCAGCTCTTTGAAGCTTCTAAGCATCAGTAACGTCAACATCCTCAAAAGAATCGCCATAAAAGGACATGGTTGCACTACTCAACTTAGGTACAAACGATACGAAAGCTAAACCTAAATTGGAAACTATGAATAATAAACAGAATTAACGCACGGTCTGGGTAGCAGAACAAATGTAATTACCTTGTAATCGTGGTTCCATAAGGCAAATTAAATAGAGTACATGGCTTACGAATAGGTTTTGCAATCGTAGTGCAAGAGGGCAGAAATTGTAAAACTACGGCAGCGTGCGGGAATTCGGACAGTCTTACGGTAACAGAAGAATATGCATGACCATGAAACCTCAAGCATATGTCAGTGATCGAGAGTGCAATGAATAAATGTTCAATATGATAACCTATTGTAACACACAGAGTAAAAGCAACGTAAAGTACAATGGAACAATGGAACAATGTTAAATGACGGGTAAAAAAGCATACACTTAACGAGTCCCGCAGGTTGGCAATAGAAATACTAACAAATTGGCAAACCACATAAGTGGGGATAAGGATAGCATGTCCTCAAGTAAGCAATTCAGTTTGGGGAACAAATCAAAGTTCCTTTTTGACTTTACATGGATGAACCGAAAAACACGCAGCGGCATTCTAGATAACTCTAAGAATCACTTAGGTTATGAGAATGACCTACAAAGTTAGCCTTATCGTTAAGCTACAGCGACGAGAGATAGCAGTTCGTTGCTTATCATGAAGCAATTATGTCATCATAATTTAGCCTTAAGATCGGTTAAACCGTCCAGTAAGCATCTGCGGCGATTTCAACCACCAATCGTTTACAACCTAATGCAACCAGTGACGCAAGTAATAACATCGTATCGGGACTATCTGAGCCATCGGAAGGTAGTCTACCCATAGCTATCGGGTGTAGATTGTTAATCTGCCATTAACACTGATTAATATTCGGAAAATTGAGCCGCTTGCGTGTACGAAGGTCAATACCAGATTTTTGACATTCTGTTTCCCAACAAAACTTAATTTACTAAATTACTTGGAAAAACTTACTTCGCTTAGGTCACGTTCGACAAAAGTGCTCTTAAGCATGATGACTGGGTTCCTAGCAAAACATACGTCGGAGTCGCATGGAGAACAGATTGTATTTGTCGTAGGATAAACGGTTGATTCCTAGTTGTCCACAAATGCACACAGCCTAAGTCTATCAGTTTTTAATCAACTTTTATCCTAAACTTCATCTCTGATATCATTAGCAACCAGCAAACGTATGTAGTTACTACGAAAAATAGAAGAAAGTCTGTTGTGTGGCCCTCCGTGAAGCAAGAAGACAGCCTGGGCGGCGATCACAAATGCCGCTAGTAAAGAACACATAGGCATTTTCTATTGTAAATTAATATTCACTGGGACTCAGTTTGAATGGTCACTTATTTTCGGCCACTCGCCTAAGTTCATTGGCTGGCGTACATCATTTGTTCTCTGACGCATGGACCAGTCCTCGCTCAGCCGGAATAAAGAGGCGCTTTTTCACACCCCAAACTCATCTCCGTCGGTTCATTCGATGTTTGCGCCGATTGATTGTTCATCCGTTTCCTTTGTCTGTTTCGCCTGCTCGGCCTATCAGCTGTCATCATGCGATGGGCACTGAACTCCAAACATGTGTCCCTGGTAAGCAAACTGTGTGACTTTGACCAGAAAAAAGATGGTGTTTGACTCGCC